ATGACTTTTTCAAGTACACGGATGAAGTGGGAACAGAGACACGCCAGAGTGGAACCATGGAAATGGAGGACTGAATAGTGTTTGGATGTTTTTGGCCACCACTACCTTTGCTTTCCTGGGATCTGTAATAGCTAGATCACACCGTGGAATCTCCAGGATCCAGATGGAGCTCTGCTTGATAGCAGTGATTTGGTCCCGGACAACATGTCCAAGTTGATCCCGGAGATTGATGACTAGGGAGAGGATTCGGTACAACCAGGGACTGGGGCCAGTTTCAAGTGCATTACTTAGAGCTCAATGCTAGCAGCGTGTGGGTGGAAGAGTTTCAGAAACATATATAGCATCAAAGTACACCCGCAACTAAGGCTGGTGTTCCCTACATTGCAGGAGAACTCTTCCCCGTTGGGTGTGATCACCCATTTTTTGGAGACACTAGGTCGTAAGATCGACCAGGCTGATCTCGAGAAGGTGGGGAGCATGCTCTCATGTTTAGATCCATGAACCTTTTGGCGCCAAGGAGAAGTTGGAATCCAAGAACTCGGACAAAGCAAAACAGCCCCATGCCATCCAATACTGGGCATGACTAGGGGCACGTGGCATGACATTTGCGTGTAGGGCTGCACTGTGTCACTGTCACCAATGTGTTGCAAGGTTAATGGGGAATCTTGACAACATTCTGGGCATGATGAACCAGGGCTATGACGAGCTGGCCAAGCTTCAAGCAGAAGCTTTGGTGGGTAAGTGAGGCCCTTAGAGAAAACAATCCCCTATCAGCTTCAAAACAGACCCCAACAAAAACTTGCAGTCGAACCCAAACCTGGCTTCTTACACTAGCTTGCAAGGTACTAGTATAATAAAGTTGACCGGGTCTAAGGTGTGACGTGCCAGCCATCAAAGAGAAGATGAAAGATGTGACCAAGACCGATGTAGCTCTCAACAACCTTTTGGTACGTGCCAGGACAAGTGTACCCATTGTGTGCGAATGAGTTGGCCCTTACCCCATCCTTTTGCTTGTGAAAGTTCCCTGCCCCTCCAGGAATGTGAAGTCCCTGACGGCGCCTGTGGGAAAGGGTACTGGAAAGGGTACAGATCGTACAGATGCTCCCCGTCCACCTCGTGGTTCGCAAAAGGCGAAGGGGAAAGCCAAGGCAAAAGCCAAGGGCAGGGTAAGGGCCAAGAAGGTCAAGGGTGAACATGCTGATGAGAACTAGCTCATCCAGCTTTATCCTCATGCCATATGGTGTGGGGACCGCGGGTCGATTTGGGTCAACCGCAAGGTTGAGTCTTCTCACAATTTGGCTTGTTACACACAGATCGATCTACCTGTGTGAAAGCCTGGGAGCTCAAAAGAAGAGAGCTTTGCACACGTGAGTAGCACTAGTTAGCTGTATTCATCTTTGGGGTGCACTGGCCTCGCTCCACACCTCTTGCACATGCAAGAGGGCCATGAATGTCAATTTAATTTGTTTGCCCCACAGGTGCCTGGAGAGAGGATGATGAACATCACGAAGGCCAGGAAAGTTCTTTCCTGCGGTTGCTGAAGTCACAGTAGGTTTCGTCTGGCGTGCATTTACGATCATCTTGTTTGTGAAGGTGGAGATGATGGGTCAAGCCAAACACCATCCGACTTTGCAGATGAGCTCATGCGTGGCTTTGAGATTGGAGCCACTTGCTTTCAACATGTTGTTTGCAATGTACCTGAACTTGCTATATTTCCACAACCCACAACAATCACTGGCCTAGGCCGATAGTGCCTTTCGCGTGGTGCGCCTGGCCCGAGTCGCTTCAAATCGGATGAGACGGTTGGGACTCCCGACTTGCCCAGCAAACTCTTTCACTTTAATACCTTTTCTTGTTACATTGTTCTAGGGGTCTTCCCAAAACAGAACTATGTTGATCTTGGGTTGTCAAGGAGTAAAAGACCATGAGCTTGAAGCTATTGCATCTTCAGGGCGGACATCTCGAAAAGGCTACCGCAATATCTCCCGTAACTTCCACAATCGTTTGGAGCGAAAAGGCTGGAGGCTTCCAGTGAGAATTTCCATGGTGCCAGTGTGGGTGCGGCAGCACCGACCCAAAGTGACAGAAGTCCAGATTGAGTACCCCATGATAGCGCTCAAGGACTGGGCTACCTACATGCTTAATAGCAATCAATCTAGTTTCTTGCTGGGGGGCTATGACATCAAGGATGTAGATGGCTACTCGCGCATGTATTTGGAGTTTTGGCATCGATACCGTGAATTGGACAGTACACACCCTTTCTTTGAGCACCACCCACCCGATGAGTGGGGGAGATGCATACCTTACCTTCTCCATGGAGATGAAGGACGTGGTAAATCGAAGGTTCCCATATTAGTCCAATCTTTTCAAATGCTTATTGCGCCAACTGGCATTGAGTCAACCAACATATCAGGGCAACTAGGTTGTATTGAACAAGCTTTTTTTCCCGGTTAGTACATTGCCCATGTTCTATCTGCAGGCCAGAACCCCATCCTCCTGTCCACCGTCCACCACGGCCTAGGCACTCGTTCACCACGCGGCTTCTGGCCTCAATGATGCCGGCAAACATGTACGCAAAGGGTGACAAAACCATGGATTGCATTGGGAATTTCATGAAGCAAGACCTGACAAAGTGTTATTTTGAGGGCGTGAAGGCACCCAGTCTCAATAGTTCAACTTTAAAGGCAAGAAACCTGTTTACCCAATAGGCTAGTGTAAGGGTTCTTCTTTTTGATCAACTCCACTATCTCAGCAACTCGACCCAGCCACCTAGGCTATGACTGGAGAGGATCAGCCACGAGTGTTCTTCTTTGTGCTGATTGGAGTGAAGGGTGATTGGCCCTGGTTGAGAAAGTGTATGGGGCTGTACACTGGGCCAACCTCATTGAGGATTTGTCATATGTGCAATGAGCCTGCAGCTAGAAGGAATTGGCCAATGTTTTGTATGGTACCCCTTTTTTTGGAGGATAAACCGATGTACTGGTGCACCCTCTACCTGAATGCCACTGCAGGCTTGGTATCATTTTGGACGAAACGGATGCTTGAGGTCTTGGGATAGGACAAGCCCACCTCCATGGAAGGCCAAACGATCGGTACTTCGAGATGTCCCTGGTGCAGATGACCCATCCCGAATCAAACCCGATCTTGCACATATTTGGGCAATTGGTACAGGCAAAGAGTACGTTGCCTCAACAATCATCTTGTTTGCCACCAGGATCAAGCTTTGGCCCGGCCGTGCTGTTGGAACGAGGCTTGAACAGGCCTACCGCCAGTTTCGAGAATGGTGCACTGAGCACAAACAAACCTGCAAAATATCAGACTTCCAACTTCGGACTTTCAAGATCCAAAAGCTTCCTGCCTGTTATCTATGTAGTTTACAGTTTTTTGTTTTCGGGATTCCTTCCAAGCCCACCCATTGCACAGCTCAGGTTGAGGCAGTACCCCACACTCCGAGGACAGGGCCACGACTGCATCGTGGTCCACAAGTGGTTGTCAGACCTTTGCGCTGGTGTTTCCACGGATGACTTGGATACTGGGTGCACATAGTTGGAAAGGAAGGGGACATAAGGGGACCACACTCGTAATTAAAAAGAAATTGGAGGGTGCATCGACCATCATATCTCTCAGGACCCGAATGACCTCGAGCTCTTTCAAGCCGTCAAGTACACGGCGGATTGTGGAAATCACTGGTTCAGATCTTTGTATAAGTACGGAGTCTGGATGCCAGGTAGTGAGATTGCTCGGCTGGTTGATGTTGCTTGGGGACTGACTGACCCTTGCAGTCACATGGTCAAAGCTTTTCTATGCACCATCGAGTATGGGGATCGGGCAAACTGCTCTAGTCGACGTCTTTTCTACTGTAATTAGTACCCTTTTGATTTCCCAGCGCTCCAGGAAGGATATGGGTGCTGTGCAAGCTTGTGCGCACGTAGAGATCTTTGCTTGTTCCGTTCAAAGCCCAAACTGCACATGCACGATCACATCACGCTTCTTGGATGTGATGTAAGTGATTTTCCCTATGAAATGCAAAGGGGTTTGTTTTGGTAGTGTATGGTAGTGTGACGGTGACGTGTGATACCCCAACCATCCTCAGCCAAGATCAGAGCTGCAGCACCAGGCTGTGACCCAGCAAACAAGCTGGGTCATCAACCCTCTATGCCACAAAGCTGCATCCAACAACTTATTTGGACCATGGCGGACCATGGAGATTCATGCTAGTGACACATGGTTCCCTTCCTGGTGCGTGGGTGCATTTGTGAACCGTATAAGGCTACAGCTGCTGGCAAGATGAGGACTTCATCGGAAAGTGCTCGCGAATATCGCGTCGCACACACCAGTTTAGCACATGCATCAGAAGTTTCCAGAGAATCCTTATGCTGTACAAGCGCTTGTTTGCTGCCTAACATGGGCAAGCTCCACTGAGGGCCCCGGCGCCAAAAGTCACTTCCCAGCTCGTGTAGTGCACATGGGCATAGGGATGAAGGTGGGCAGGGTTAAGGGGAGTTCAGAACACCATTTACCTCAACATCCTCGAGCACTTTTTAGAAGCACGTGCAGAAATCCAAGGGTTTCACATATTTACCTCCAAACGCGCAACAATTTCTCGTAGCAGAAATTTATGTTACAAATGAAGCTCCAGGTTTGACCAAAAATCGATGTTCTAAACATTGGCGCTGGTGCCGACCTGCAGTGCTTGCCACGTGCCCAAAACCGGCCGAATACGTCGGATACCCTCTATGGGACCGAAGACGGACGCGATGCTTGGATGCGATGTGGAAATGCTTGGGTGACCATGCCGAACATGGACTATACTAGGCCATCTCGTGCCGCCATTTGCGGGAGTCGAAGACACCATAAGAGTCCATAAGAGCTAGTGAAGCTAAGGACAAACTGCAACCTGAGGTGAAATACCACGATGTTGATCGTTCTTGCCATGGGCCTTTAAACGGCCAGGTGATGCCAGCGGCACGACATCAGGTCCGCCCGACCGACCATCCCAGGCAGAGAAGCTGGCACCACGAGCCGTGATGGAACCCTGGCGAGCACGTGTCAGCTTTGACGTCGGTTCAACGAGGTTCTCCGGTGCTCTTTTTCAACCAAAAAGAACAGTCCTGGATCTTCAAATGCCATGTCGTTTTTGTTTATGTTCTTGGTTGTTCTTGGTTGTGGTTGTTGTTGTTGTGGTGGTTGTGGTTGTGGTTGTGGTTGTGGTTGTTGTTGTTGTTGTTGTTGGTAGAGACAAAAACAGCCGCCCAACATAGTTGTCACATGTTGCAAGTCAGGGATTTCAATGGGATTCTGTTAGGGATAGGGTCGAAGGTTTGGAGAGATGTTAGTAGCTGGACTTCTTGTTCTTGTGGTACTCAAGTCTTGGTTGGTCTGCTTCTTTTTCTTTGTTGTGTTGTTTTTTTTGGGGGGGGTCAAAAAACAACAACGGGGTTGCAGATTTTGTTTCTAGGGGGGGGTAGAGACAACCACATCTCTTGGAAGGGGGGGGTCCAAAAAACAACCACGGGGTTGCAGTTTTTGTGTCTAGGCTGTGGTAGAGGTTGAAAGTAGAAGTTTTACAGGGTTTACTTAACCAGTTACAATAAGCATCACCAGTAGCATGACCCTCAGAGGAGGTTCATAGACCCTAAGAAGGCGTTTAAATCGACCATATTGTTCCATTGGAATCCAAAAACTTCCAGGAGTCTCCAAGAAAAGATTGATTTTTCAGTGCATAGATTGAGAACCGGGTTTCCACCCCCTCGCCTCCGCACACGCCCCGCGCACTGTCCACACATCCCGGGGTGGGGGGTGTCTACCACTAGTAGTAGTAGTAGTAGTAGTAGTAGTAGTAGTAGTAGTAGTAGTA